AATCGAGGAGTGGATAAAAAAGATGTAGTATTTTTATACAGTGGAATTCTACTCAGCTATAAAGAAAGATAAACTCGAGGATTTTATAGGTCAGTGGATGCAAGCAGAGACCATACTCATAAGTGAAATAAATCAGACTCCTGTGTAAACATTGTATTGTCTTCCTACTATAAGAAACTGAATAAGTAAGATCCAGAGTGCACAGTAGATATTGTGAAAGGGAAAGGAACTATTCAAACGAAAGAACAACTGAGATGAGGGAAGGAAAAAAAAAAAACATAGACAAGATACCTGAGATAACTATAGTACTAATTTCTGTTAGTTCCTTGAAAGGAACAGTTAGTGCTTATGTTCGATCAGTTTTGCATGCCTATATCTTGTAAGCAACTACTTTGAAGATAACAGTATGCAGTATAATAACTATTGTTAATTTCCTAGTAACTTGTTAAAAAAAATTCCTACTGTGTTAATTTTTTTTTTTTTTATGCTGGGAATGGAACTCACGACCTTCTGCTTGCCAGGCAGGCGCTGTGCTGCTGAGCTGTATCTCCGGCCCTATTGTGTTAAATTCTGTATCATTGTTTTTATTGTTTTTTCTTCTTCCTCTTTAAAAAAATGAATTGGGAATAAAGACGATGATGGTCAGTAGTCAGGGCTGGATGGCGTTCCTTGTACCTTGCATGTTACGTTACCTATTCTGACTGAACTAACCCTTACATTCTTCGAGTTAATAATTGTTGCTTTCATTTTGAAGATGTGGAAACTGAGACAGGAAAAGTTCTTGTTATTTTTTTTAATAGTCATTGACAGCCAGTAACAAGTTCAGGCTTTCAGAGGAGTACTGTGTGTGGGTCTGTGTCCTTGACTGCTTACTGTATTGTGCCTCTCAGTAACTTACACTGCAGGACACTTCCAGTGCAGTAAGTGTATTGTGTTTTGTCCTTGATTTACTATCTGTTCTTACGTTGGTTAGGCTCCTACTGTGATTCATCTGAGAACTTTTTCTTGTGTTTCTTTGCTGTTAGGTTTATGATACACCTGGAGCTTTCCTGAAAGCATTGTTTTCCTCCTATCTTAGAAAATTGTATAGTTGCTGCGTTGTTGGGTGCTTTGTGTATGAGATAAATGATAAAGTCTTGCTGAGGAAGTCTGAAAAATGTGCATGGTCTTTACTGAAAACACCTGAGGTTGAAGGAAGGGGGAAGGAAGGTGTTGGGTGGTGTGGCGGGCCTCGTGCCTCGGAGTTGAGCCGGGAGCCTTTTCCTTAACCTCTGGCCGGCTCTTGCTGTTCTTCCTCCACCCTGTCACATAGATGTAGCTGTGTTGTAAAAGTAACACTTACTAAAAATTGATATTAAAATCATAAGAAAAGTAGCTATAATCTGTCTATGGAGAGCTGTTGTTCAGTATTGTATGCCTTAGTTACTGACATGAGTTTATATACCTTAAAGAAATGTGTGGGATCATTTTGCACATATGTGTAGTCTAGTTCATTTCTATCTTGGATGTCATTTCATGTTGTTTATTTACCAATTTATGTTGTTTATTTGCCTGATTTACCACATACAGTTTTCATGGTACCTTGGCTTGCCCCATCTTTCCAGGAGTTAAGGAGAAGTTTCCCGGCTCAGCTCTGAGGCCCGCCGCACCACTAGTTGACGCTAGCACTACTGTTTTTGAAGAGTATATAGCGTTTACTGTGTGTGTATTATGTCCCTCAGCTGAGGCTGCCTTAGTAGCGAGTCAGCTCAGGTTCCAGTTGTGCGTTTTTGTGTCATGTCAAGGCGCCAGTGACAGTTGGTGCCATTGCAGATGAGATCACTTGGCTCGGGTTGGCTGCGTGGCTCGGGTTGGCTGCGTGGCTCGGGTTGGCTGCGTGGCTCGGGTTGGCTGCGGACTCCCTGCTTGAATCTGCTGTCGGTGTGGCCCATGGTGTCCGGCAGTTCGGACTCACGTAGCTGCTGTCCCTATCAGAGCAGTGCTGGTGCCCGCTGCTGGCTCCTGCCTCAGAGTCACGAGCGCCTGCCTAGCATGAGTGGGGCCCTAGCACACAGGAAAAGGCAGAACTATTACTGTTGCTAAGATGATTACAAGTTTTTTGGGGGAGGGGTTTTTGATGACTTTTTTGGCAGTGGGGAGGAGAGAAGCTCTTGCCAAGCAGTCCATCAGGGTTGGCTTTCCATCCATTTCCATGTAGCCCATGCTGGCCTCAAAACTCGCAACAACTCTCCTGCCTCAGCTTCCCGAGTGCTGGGATTACCGGTGTGCACTGCCACGGCTGGCTGTTGCTGTTTGTTGAGACAAGGTCTTGCTTATGTGATGTGCGTTGGCCTTGAACCCACTGTGTACCCAAGATGGACTTGAATTCACAGTCCTCCCCCTGCCTCAGACTCCTGAGTGCCAGGATTCTAGGTGTGCACCACACCAACCAGGCAGACTCTTTTAGATTTAAGAAGTTTGTTTGTCCGTGTAGCTGATTACAGGTGTATGTCGCCATGTCTGGCAGATGTGACTGAGTTTTGGCAAAAGCAGTAAGGGATGGTCTTTTTCAGTGATCTCACAGAGGAACAGGGTCTTCTAAAAGGCCCAGGGCTGGCCTCTAACCTGTGATCTTCTTGCCTCAGTGTCCCAAGTAGCTGGGGTTACAGGTGATTTTGGCTTTTATTAGTTACTTGGGGTTAAGCTTTTTCACACTGACTGGAATTAACCCTTGCAAGGTTAGAAAAATTTTACTTTTGTAATGTGTATAGTATGTTTGGGCTGGCACTGTAACTCAGAGGTAAAGTGCTTGCCTGGATTTAATTACCAGCACAGAACAAACAAAGAATCCAAATAATAATACAAGACTGTGTGAGCCTGTTCCGTAGATGGATGTGTAGCTCAGTGCGCCCTGATTTAATCCCAGTGCTGCAAACAGACTGCAGAAAAAAATCCCAGCCAGTTACTGTCGTGTGGTACATTTTTTGACCTTCCTGCTCTGTTTCATTGACGGACGCCTGTCCTTTGGTGACTGCCGCACTGTCCTCATTACTGTGTCTGTAAGTCAGTACTATGAGTCCCACGGGCCTGGTGTTCTTTGGCATCATGTTGTTATAGGTCTGTTGCAAAATAATGCACTTCAGAATTAAACATTATGTAAGTTTTACTTGAGTAAGTACTGCGACAAATTAAATGAAGTAAAATTTAAAAATTCAGTTTCTCAGTTATCCTGGCCATAAAGTGTTAAACGGCAGTACTTGGGTAGGCTTCTGTAGCAGACAGTATGGTTTTCCCGCAGCATGGTAATCTACAGAAGGCGGCAGCCTTAGAAAGCATTGTTCTAGCCGGCACGGTCGTTCTTGCCCGTGTCCCCAGCACTCTGGCAGACTGAGGCAGGAGGGTTTCAAGTTCAAGTCCAGGCATCTCAGTTTAGCACCTCAGTGAGGCAGTCTCAAAATAAAAGAGAAGGTTGCCAGTGGAGCTCAGTGCGGAGGTCCTGGGTTCAGTCCCCTCTATAGACAAATGGAAATACAGGTTGAACTACATGGGACTAATGTGCCAGGTATGTTGGGTGTTGAATACCACACCTGACGTACTTGGATTTTGGCTTCTAAGTCACAAGCTGAATTACTAATACAAAAGTCAATACCTGTGGATTTTGCTGCTTGGGGATCATTTTGGGAAATGTTTTGATTGTGCAGAGTCATCTATTAGAGATGTACACCACTGACTAGAAATCAGGTATTGGACAGTAGCTGATTTCTGTAGTGTTTTCATGGTACCTGAATGTTCTACATTTGCTGTTGGAATAGTGGGTCATCCAGATTGAGTACTTGACCACACCCCCTTGTGTGCAGTAGTCGGGACTGAACCCAGGCCTCTTGCCTGTCTGAACTATATCTCTAGCCTTTTCATTTTCTTGTTTTGATACAGGGTCTCACTAAAAGTACCCAGGCTGGGCCTGAACTTGTGCTCCTCCTGCCTTGGTCTTCAGAGGAGCCTGGATTCACAGGTGTGCACCACTGGCCTTAGCTAACCGTTTGAGGTCTTCAGCCTTGGAAGTACAAATGGTTAATGAGACAGTGTTTAATGGAATTTATAGCAGGCTGCAGAAAACCAGCGCTGGGGCTGAGCGTGGTGGTGCACACCTGTAACCCTAGCACCCTTGGAGGTTGAAGCAGGACAGGACAATCATAAGTTCAAGTCCCACCTGTGCAGTTTAGCAAGCCCCTGTCTTAAAGCACAAAATAAAAAGTGCTGGGGATACACCTCAGTGTGCAGGGGCCCGGGGCAGTTCAGTCCCCATGCCGCGCACACGGCCAGTACTGAGCACATCTTCTATAGTAGTTTAACAAATTCATGAGAAAATCCTTCCTTCTTACCTATTGAAATAGTGTAGAAGGATGGGGAGGCTGCTAAAGGTTTTGAAATAGCAATATGTATTTCTTAGGGTAAAAATATTTGTAAAATCTAGGAAGCCAAGTGGTAGGATATTTTTTTTTGTGGCGGGGGTTCTGTTTGAGACAGGGTCTTGCTATGCAGTTCAGGCTGGCCTTGAGCTCACTTTGTAGCCCAGGCTACTCTCAAACTTGTAGCAGTTCCCCTGCCTCAGTTTCCCGAGTGCTGGGATTACAGGCGTGTTCCACCATACCCTGCCAAGTAATAGGTTGTCAAAACTGTACTGCTCTGATTACAGGAGTGCTTAATTGAAAACCCAATCTTTCTGGTAAGAAAGTCCCCCTATTTTTGTCCTTGTATATAGTGGAAAAAGTAGTTAACTGGTGAGTAATGAAACTTGAGTTTTATTTTCCAGTTGTACCACTGGCAAACGTGTTACTTTGGACAACTCAATTTATTTATAAAGTGAACTGCTTTTCTGAAAGAAGTCCCTCAACATTTACTGTACAGAATTGGTTCTGTTGCACTACTGATTTTATGTTTGAAAGTACTGAATACTCACCCGAGTCCTGCTTGCGCCTTACCCCTGACGCCCTTTTGCTCTCTCCCTCACTGTCATGTAGTGTGTTGTTGGTGGCTGCAACGCCAGCTTTGCATCTCAGGGAGGGCTAGCCCGCCACGTACCCACGCACTTCAGTCAGCAGAACTCCTCAAAGGTTTCGAGCCAGCCAAAGGCCAAAGAAGAATCTCCTTCGAAAGCTGGGATGAACAAAAGGAGGAAGTTAAAGAACAAAAGACGACGCTCATTACGTAAGTGTTGCATTTGGAAAATCTGAATTAGGTTTTTATGTCTTGGCTTTCAGGCAAATCCAGTTTTTACTGTTCTTCAATTTGGCTTATCTGTTTGCATTCAAAGTCATCAACAGGTACTTGTCACTGTGAACACTCATTGATGTGTTTATAGAAGCTAAGGGAGTTGTATGTGATCTTAAACTCTGTAGAATTAGATTTGAGGGGCTACCAAAGTTCTAAGCCAAGGAAATTTGAAACACAGCAGTGTTGGCGTTTGTCGGAATATTTTGGGAAATCTGAGCATGTTAAAGGGAAATTTCAAGTGAAAGTTAAATAACTGATGGACTAAAGTGTAACATACACGTGTGATAAAGGGTTTTAATGGAGCCTGAGAATCAGTAGCCACAGTCACTTGTAACACATAGTACATGGGTCTGGGCCTGTTTACTAGGTCATGAGGTACAGTCTTGATGTTTAGGACAGAGAATAACTAGACAGTAGAGCTTGCAAATATTGGGAGCAGGAATTAACTTTTTAACCTCATAGCCTAGCATTTACCTGGTTCTCTGTGTCATCCACTAATACTGTATACCCTCAGGAAAGGAACGTGAATGAAGTTAGCAGGAAAGAGTCTTCTCTAAAGGTCAGCTGGAAAGAAATGGATCACACCTGCCTTAGTTACTGTTCTCCTTGCTGAGACGAAATGCCCAACACCAAACTTAAAGGAGGAAAGGCCAATTTATTTGCATTAGATTTGCCAGGCATGGTGGCGCACGCCTGTAATCCCAGCACTCAGGAGGCTGAGGCAGGAGGATTGTTGAGAGTTCGAGACCAGCCTGGGCTACAAAGTGAGCTCAAGGCCAGCCTGAACTGCATAGCGAGACCCTGTCTCAAAAAGACCAAAAACAAAATAAGACATTAGGTTTTATTGGTACATTTTAGATACACATAATGACCACATTCATCATAGAGAATTTGTACTTGTACGTGATTCAACTTGTTTCTGTTTTTTCCCCATTCTCCTACCCTCCCTTCGGCCCTTTCTCCTCTACCCACTTACAAAGCTTTGTTTCCGTGTTTTCCTTCTTTTCCCATTTTGATTTTACTTTTCCCTTCTAAAGGAGGAAAGATTATTGCAGCTCAGTTTGTGGAGGTTTCAGTCTGTAGTTGGCTGCTCCAAGGCAGGGAGGCAGGGCAGAGGGGCCTGGCAAGGAGAAAGAGCTCGTGGCAGGCAGAAGGCAGCAAAGGAGTGAAGTAGCAAAGAAGCCAAGCAGCAAGCTACAGGGAACAAGAAGTGACCCTGTCTTTTTTCATATGTGCAGGCGTCCTAATCTTAGGGCAAGTAGCACTTACACGCAGGGCGGGGCAGCCTTCATCCTAGTATTGCACTGTGATTCAACGCCAGATCACACCTGTTTTTGTTTTTTTGTGTTTGTTTTGAGACAAGGACTTAATACTAAGCTCACTGTATAGCCCAAACTAGCCTCGAACTCATGGCGATCCTCCTGCCTCAGCCTTCTGTGTGCTGGGATTATGGGATTATAGGTGTGCAGCCCCATGCCCAGCTCCACCATCATATATGATCCAGCACCACACACCCTAGATCCAGCCACCCTCCAAAAGCCCCACCTATGACTGCGTGAGGCTTTGGGGGGACGATGTAGATAAACGCCGTAACAGCACCATAACCTCTTCTCTTGGGATTTGATTGGAGTGTAGATGAGAATCCGGATGCTAATCCAGGGTACAAAGCTGGTCTCATTTATGTTTTAGATACCGCAGAGCTAGTGTGGACAAATGAACAAACTGCAAGTGAAAAATAAACTTTCCTGAAATGTCACATTTCTTAGGATGGACAGAAAGACATGTTTCCTTTTCATCCCAGTTGGCTGTTGAGTGAGGTTTAGAATCTATTTCCCTTTTGACCTTGTTTATAAAAGCTAATGTGGGGGCTGGGGATTTAGCTCAGCGGCAAAAGCGCCTGCCTGTCAAGCGCAAGGTGGTGAGTTCGGTTCCTGGTACCAGAGAAAAACCAAAAAAAAAAAGCTAATGTGCTGGTCATTTTACAGGAGTGTCAGTTTGAGTAGCTTGCACTTGTACATAGGAAGGTTGCTCAGTGTGTATTACAGGACTGAAAACCAATGGCAGAGCTCTCACCTCTGTCGTTGAAGCTATTAGAGCTTTGGCTTCAGTGTATGCGCAGTAATTTAGCTTGGCTTATCTGTTCACGTTCACTTGGCAGTGCTGACACGACTCGAGAACATAGGTGCAGGTCAATACCCAGTTCTTACTTAGAAGGGGAGTCTGTGCCTGCTGATGTATGTGTTCCTTCAGCCGCGGTGTCTCTCCGGTGCTCACTGAAGCAGTGACAGGGTGGGGTGTCAGGGCAGAGGGATGTGGGTGAGACCCCATGAGCGTAGCTGTTCCGCTGAGGGGTAGAGTACTCCCTCAGCGTCAGGCAGTCCAAGCCTTCCTGTGGGGAGCCACTGTTGGAGTAGTCTGGTAGCTGCAAACCACATGGCTTCGTATCACTTACCTGTTGCAGGGTACCTGAACATTGCTTGCTGGATATGGTGGCACACTCCTGTAACCCCAGCTGCTTAGGGGACCAGGGCACAAGGACAGCAAGTTTGAGGCCAACTTGGGCGACTTAGTGTGACCTTGTCTCAAAAATAAAGTGGCAAGGGCTGGGGCTGTAGTGTAGCTCAGCACCGCCTGTGTTCTGTTCCCAGTGCTGGGGAAAAAACCGTTTTGCTAGTCCCTTATGTAATTCAAGGTCATTTTTACTGAATTAGGGAAAAGTACATTATAAAGGAACTATCACATAAGTAATGTTGTGTTTGATAGTATTTAAACAATTTATTGTAGTTTTTTTTGATGTAGGGTCCTGCTGTATTGCCCAGGCTGGCCTTGAATTCAGCACCCTCTTACCTCCTCCTGAGTAACTAGGGTTACTGGCATGTGTGAATAGTATAGAATGCTTTTTCCTTATATTCCCAAGAATTTAACCATGAGCTGAAAATACTTAATGCATCTCTTAAGCATATTCTTTTACATAACCACATCACTATTTTTATACATAAAAATAGGAAAGGTGTCTCTTTTGTGATTTTAAGTTTTTGGTTTTGTATTTTATCAGTGGACACACAGCCTTTTTTTTTGGTACTAGGAATTGAACTCAGGACCTTGCACTTTCCAGGCTGGTGCTCTGCCCCTGAGCTATATCCCCAGCCCAACACAACAGACTTAACATAATGTAATATGTACATTGTACACAGGTGATACCAGCACATTATAAAGTAACTCCAGAAAATAGTTTAAAAAGGATGAAATGAAAAACAACCCTCCCCCCCATGCTTTGGAGACAGGGTCTTGCAATGTAGTTCAAGCTAGCCTTAAACTCACTATATAACCCCTACTGTTAGTCCCTACTGGCCTCACAGTGACTTTCTTGCCTCAGCCTCCCGAGTACTGGGATTGGAGGTGTGTGCCACCTCATCTGGCGGCTTTTTTTACCCTTAGGGGGAGCACAGTACATACCTGCTTTGGATAGTACTACTGTCTAATTTTTGTGTACACACTGGGGATTGAATATAGGGCACCGACCCTGTTGAATACGTACTCAGCCACTGAGACACAGAGACGTGTGCGATAGACAGACAGACAGACAGACAGACACACACACACACACACACACACACACACACACACACACGCTCTTCTTACAGTGGAGATTAATTACCCAACTAAGTTTGGATGCATAGACTCCAAGGTTAAATAACTTTTTTGGTGGGTGATACTGGGGATTGAACCCAGGACCTTTGCACAGCTACCTAACCCTGCTCCTCCCACCTTGGTGTCCCCTCCCCAGTACCTGGAATCGAACTCACGACCTTGCACTTGTCAGGCAGGCCCTGTGCCGCTGAACTAAATCCCCAGCCCCCCATCTTAGTGTTTTTTGTTTTGTTTTAAGTTTGAGTCAGGCTCTTGTCGAGTTGCCCTGGCTGGGGTCCAATTTGAGATCTTCGTGCCTCAGCCTCCCAGACGGTGGGGACTACAAGTGTGCGCAGCTTGCAGGCTCTTTTCCTTACTGTGAAATTAAACGACTCCCTGCAGCCACAGAAGAGAAGTTTGTTTCTCAGAACTGGGCAAAAGTATCAGTGTCCCCCTCCAAATTTCAAGTAATTTTTTTTTTTTTTTTGCCTTTTTGACACAGGGTCTCACCATGCAGTTCAGGCTGGCCTTGAGCTCACTTTGTAGCCCAGGCTGCTCTCGAACTCGCAGTCATCCTCCTGGTGCCGGGATTACAGGCATATGCCACCATGCCCGGCTAATTTTTCTTTCTGATTGCCTATTATGATTGCATTCTTAGGTTACAGATCGTGCTGGTTCCTTACTGGATAGTGCTTCGCTTGTTTGTCTTAAGGAAAATCCCAGTGACAAAGAGTTGTTTTGGTGTTTTCTTTTGAACATTAGCAAGTGAAGTTTTCCCTCACAAAAGCTTGGTGTATCAGGTGGGTGTCCTGACAACTCCACAAAGAGCCTTGGTAACATGTATGTAAAGCAGCGTCCATATAATTGGGAATATACTACCAGCACATCAAGCCCCCACCCCTTTGTTGTTGTTGTTAACAAAACTGAATTAGTGCCACAAATGTAAAATAACCCTGTGTTTATATAAAATCAGAAGATTAGACAAAGGTAAGAATAGCAGAATTTATAATAATAATTTAGGGGGATGAAGATAGAAATTAAAAGAAAACGTCATTGCCTATGTGATCACATAGTATTTCCTACTTTTTTTTTTTTTTTGTCTTTTTGAGACAGGGTCTTGCTGTGCAGTTGAGGCTGGCCTTGAGCTCACTTTGTAGCCCAGGCTGCTCTCGAACTCACAACGATCCTCCTGCCTCAGCCTCCTGAGTGCTGGGATTACAGGCGTGCGCCACCATGCCCGGCAGTATTTCCTACAGAATGTGAAAGTTTATTTTAAAACATCTTTCATGCATTTGTTGATGTAAACTGCTTTGAGATTTGCAAGACATTTTCACAAGCAGTTGTTTTAGTTAACTACAGAGCTATTCTATTTCCTTTTACAAATAGAAAAGGCTGCTAACATAGGTTAAACTGGTACACCTGGCCATATAGCTGCTAATTGGTGAAGCTGAATTTTGGTGTCCTAGATGTCCCTCAAGAAAGTACTGACAGGAGCCAAGCCTGGTGGTGCAGGCCTGTAATCCAGCTCCCTGGGAGACTGAGGCAGGAGTTCCAGCCCAGTGGGCAATTTAGTGTCTCAGACCCTGCTCCATTTTTTTTTTTTTTTTCTAGTACCGGGAATGGAACTTACAACTTCGCGCTTGCCAGGCAGGCGCTGTGCTGCTGAGCTAAATCCCCAGCCCCTGACCCTGCTCCAAAAAACCAAACAAAACCGGCTGGGGATGTAGTGCAGTGCAAAGCCGTGGTTTCAGTCCCCAGAACCTGGGGGCAGGGCGGAAGTGTTGATGGCGGGTTTGATCTTGGTGAAATACAGTTAAATGGTGTATTTGAACGGGTGCGGTGGCTGGTGACTGTAGTGCCTGCTGCACGGTAGGCTGAGGCGCCGGAGGTGTCTTGAACCCAGGAGTGTGAGAATGGCCTAGGCAACGCAGAGCCCATCTCAAGGGGAAAGTATTTGCAGTTTTCTTAAATGGTTAGAGTACGTGTTTTTAGTCAGGAAAATACTTGTCAAAAGCCTCAATAATACTACCAGGCTGTCACATTTGAAAACTGCTTGATTCCTTATTAAAAGAGCATGTGCATAGGGTTTTTGGTTGTTTTGTCCTGGGTGAGTTTGACCCCGGTGTCGTGCATAGATGGAGATGTTCACCACTTCGTTGAACGCGCAGAATGGGTGCTGAGGAGAGGTGCAGCAAATGATAAAATTTAAGAGAAAAAAGTAACTGCACTGTGGGATCGTGAGGTGTGAGGCCGAACCTCAGCAGTGAGGGCCAGAGGTAGCCCGTGATCACTCAGTTGGTATTAGGCTTTGGTACATCTGTATCTTCCCGATCAGAGTCCTCGTTTTGACAGCAAAAATGTTTTGCATTTAACTGGATCGGTGCTTGTTACTTACTTGTGTGCAGTTAGAGTTACAGTGTTGCTTGTGGTTTGTGGGAAACAGGGCTATCTGGCTGCTCTTCTAAATATTTCTTACCTTTTCTCTGTTGGCTTTGCAGCACGACCGCACGACTTCTTCGATGCACAAACACTGGACGCGATAAGACATCGAGCCATATGCTTTAACCTCTCGGCGCATATAGAAAGTTTAGGAAAGGGACACAGTGTTGTTTTTCATAGTACTGTGAGTATTCGTTTTTTGTTTAAAGTCATATATACAGATTTGCCAAAATGTATTTTGGTTTTACTGTCATGTTTCTAAATTATTCAAAAATCTTAAAATGTATTTTAAAAGATTTGCAAAATCTTTGCATATTTAAAAAATTACCTGTATTGCTGTTGATAAAGCAGATAGTTCCTATAATTGTGTATGTTTGAGTTTTGTGAGACAAGTCTTGCTTTTTCGCTTAGGCTGGCCTTGAACTCACTGTGTAGCCCAGGCTGGCCTCACATTCGTGGTGATCCCCCTATCTCAGTCTCCCAAGTGGTGGGGTTATAGGCTTGCCTGGTTCCCTATAATTCTTTTTGGGATTAGACTGAATATTTTAGCCCCTAGTTATTGCGGATTATTAGAATGGTAAATCATAGAGTGCTACTCTTGGTCTTTTTTCTTTTAAGTAGAGTAAATATCTTTTCTGAGTTCTGGTTTTATTATTTGTATAATTAGAATATTAGAGATCTTTTAGATTGTTTGTACCCTGTAAGCTGTATGTACCTTATTCGCACACACATCTAGCTCATGTTAAATAAAAAATACCGCTGCCACAGTAAAGCTTCCTGAGGGAGTGGGTTCTAAATCAGCTTTATTCTGCTGGTGTGTCCCAGATGCCTAGATTGGTGGCTGACACACTGTGCACGTATGCAGTGTATTCGCTGAGTGAATTAGCTTTTCAACAACAGAAAGGTAAAAATACCAAATTTGAAAATGCAGTAAGTACAGTTTATGTTTTGGTTAGCTAGCAGCTAGCAGTTGTTTTTCTTTCATGTTCCTTGCCAGCCACTTTGATATCCAGTTTATTTTTATTTATTTTTTTGTTTTTTAGGTAGGTCTCACTGTGTAGTTAAGATTGGCCTGGAATTTACTGTGTAGACCAGGCTGGCCTCCTGCCTCCGCTTGCCAAGTCCTGGGATTACAGGCATGCACCACCATGCCCAGCTATCCAGTCACTTTTACATTGGTGTGGGTAAATCAGTAAAGATAAATTATAGACCAGGCTCTTGGCAATTTGAATTCCTGAAAAAAATAAGTATTTAGTTTTGATTATTGAAATGAAATATACCAAATGTGGGTTACTTTTATATTTTACATTTCAATCAAAATCATAAGAATTTAAATATCATAGTCATTAATGGTATTGATATCTTGTTAAATTTAAACCTCTTGTTAAATTTAAACCTCAGTCTTATAATAATATTGTGTTACGTTTTTACTTCTCATGTATATATACTATTTTCCAATTATTTGGCTTTTCTGTTCTGACTACTTACTTTAATGCACATGCTCATTATGTTGGCTTCTTGCCTGTGTCACAAAATCCCTGACATAAACAACTCAGAGGAGGAGAGACGGGTGTTGGAGGTTTCAGTCCGCAGTCAGCTGGCCTCATTGCCAGGATCTGAGGGGAAGCAGAGCATCATGGGTGAAGGCGTGGTGGAGCAAGGCCCCCAGCTTTATGGCAGCCAGGAAAGAGGGTGAAAGAGCAGATAGGAAGGGACCAGGGACTAGATAACATCCCCAGGGCCACACCTCTGGACCCAGTCTTGTCCAGGTCCCACTTCCGGTTTCCATCCCCTCCCAAGAATACCCCCAGGTTATGTTTTTTTTATATTATTTATTTATTTATTTATTTATTTATTTATTTATTTAATTTTTTTGGTTTTTCTCCGGTACCGGGAACCGAACTCACGACCTTGCACTTGCCAGGCAGGCGCTTTTGCCGCTGAGCTAAATCCCCAGCCCACCCCCAGGTTATGATGAAGTGAGCTTTGTTGCTTGGTAGCCCCTGGAGCTCTGCCTCTGAACACATGAGCCCCGTGTGGACATTTTAGGTCTGTACTGTAATATTCACCTTCAGTGTTCTCCCTGTTACTTCTGAGTTTTCCTCTGTCATGCTTACTTTAGTTGCATGTGTGCCACCTACCTTCTGCCCTTTTTGAAAAAGCTGTGATCCCAGCACACAGGTCACCGAGGGAGAAGGGGTACGGTGAGTTCAAGGCCAGACTGCACTATATTAGTGAGACTCTGTTTCTAAAAACACAAGTAAAAAATAGTTAAGAAGTAAAAAGACCAAAGGACACTAGTAGTGTCTCTGTGGATTATCACTGTAAGAATGAAAATATTACTTAGCTACTTGCTAAAGAAAAGATCTGTTAGTATTTCATGTTTATATGATAGAATCTCAGTCTAGATTAGAGTGGACTCTAGGAAATGTAATTTACTGGGATCTGTTCAGACTGAGGGAGCTGAGAAGGTCACCCACAGTGGATTGTGTTCACGGACTCAGGTAAATGGCAGCAAGCTTGACCTAAGGCAGGATACGCGACATGCGTTGTGTAAAATTCTGGGTGCTTTGTCACCGTACCATGACTGTCGCTCCCTAACTCAAGTTTTTCAGGTGTTGAAACTAGAGACTAGCAACGCTGCGTGCTTTCTAGCGCGATACAGCATGGTTGTGTGTTATCATTGCGTGGGCTGTGGGCTTGTTCCAGCCCGTTCGTGGGTTCCAGAGGGAGAGCCTGTGGTGTTGAGAGTAAACGTGCAGTGCTAGTGGGAGGCAGGAAGCCGAGCCGTGTGGAGCAGCACCGTGAGCTCTGGGCAGGGCTGTAAGTAGAGGCACAGGTGTGGGTGCTGGGAGCCAGGCAAGGCTGTGAGAGCACGAAGGACTGAAGACGTGGAACGACAGGCGAGAAGATGGGGGATGGGGTCCCCAGGAAGGGGTTTGTCTCAGTCTGTAAGACAGGAGGGGAGCGTGTGTGACTTTGAAATTGGTGCACAATGCGTAACGTTCTTCCAGAGAGCATAGAAAGTGCAGTTTGGTGGGTAGGTTGGGAGCGTGGGAGGGGACACACGAGTGCTGGGAGGAAAGAATGAAGGGCTCGGGTTTTGCTGGGCTTGGAGGTGGGGAGCTTGCCTAACAGCGAGAGCTGGCTCCTGCTGGAAGCTCGTGAGCGTAGGTTGGTGACGTGTGGGCCCGAGTCCGTCTTTACCGGTTTTGTTTCCTTGCGGCAGGGATGGAAGGCAAGGCTTTGTGCATTGCTGGCTCATGCTCTACCACTGAGCTGCGTCCCCCGCCCGCAGAAACCTTTCTTTAAAACAAGCCAGTGAAGTGCGGCCACGAAGCCCACAGTGGGACGAGGGGGCTGATTTGTTCATTGGCTTAATTAAGTACTGAGGACTCGTGTGGATCAGGTGCTGTGCTCAGGATACCCATCGGGGAACAGAATAGGTTCGTAAAACACCTCTTGCTCTTTGTACCTCCTCAAAAGAATGAAGCTGCACTCTGGAGGAAGAGGTGTGATGGACATGATAAACAGTGAGATTATAAACAAGTGATGAGTGTTTTAGCCAGAGGGGGAATCAAACAAAATACCTGGGGCTGGAAACAAACGTGCCAGGTCCGTTTAAACAGAGCGGGGAGGAGCTGTGTGTCTCTGGAGAGTGTGAGAGTGGGAGGCGCCGTAGGGAAGCGAGCCTCCCTGGGTGGAGAGCCCAGGCTCTGCCCCGCGTGGCGTGGGAGGCCACTGAGGCAGTACAGTAGGCACCGTCTAGTGCAGGCTTTTGGAGAGTAATTATTGAGGTGCAGTTGATAAGAAACTGCTCCCCTTTAAAGTTACAGCTCTCTGAATTTTGACAGTGGCACTCACCTGTGGAAGCACTTCGAAAGTTAAGATGCTGAAAATTCCCATCACTTGCAGGTTTTCTGGTGCAGCTTTCCAGTTCTTCCCTGCCTCTGCCTCCTGCCCTAGAGAGCCTGCTGGTGTTTTTCCGCTTTCACAGGCATTAATTAATGTGTCACTTTGTTTCTTCCTTGAGAGCGATTGATTGTAGGAGGTCGCGAGTGGGGACAGGGAGAGGCGTCTGCTCAGCCTGCGGGGTGAGAATGCTCGGGGACTGGTCCAGGGCCTGCGGATCTTTCAGAGTTGGTACTGACGAGACTTGCAGGTGCCAGGTGTGAGAATGAGAGGAAGGGAGGACTCCACGGCCCTTCCTTTGGGCCGGGACAAGTAGTGACGGAATTGCTGAGTATAGACTGTGGGATGAGCAGGTTGAAGGTGATGTGGGAGTGAGGTCTCACCTGGACACGTGTCAGGTCTGTAGTCACACAGCGGTGTCAGGCAGACAGCGGATGGACCCACCGGGTTAGAGCTCAGAGGGAAGCACGCAGAGCTACAGATACATGGGAGTTTCAGCATGCCAGGGGTCCTTCTTTACAGATGCTGCCCGACACTAAGTGGAAATAGAGACGAGAAGGGTAAGGACTGAGGAGACGTTAGTGATGCAGGGGACGGTGGGTCTGATGAGATGGTGGTGTAGTCACGAACGCGCACCTCTGCCCTCAGGTGTGAGCCAGGCCCGCCTGCTCAGTTCCGGGGGTGACGGCAGGGTTACGATGGGGAGTGCAGCCTGGCTGGGAGGCCGTGTGCCTGACTTGTGTGACGCCCCGGGTTTCATCCCCAGCGCTGCAAAGGCAAGGACAAAAAAGAGGAAGTAGAAAGAACAATGGTGCCAGCTTGCCTGTGCTTCCACCAAGGCAGTCTTTTCGATAAAGTCCTTAGGTTCCTCGTGGGCGGAATGGAGGTGTCTCCCTGCTGCCCCTTAAAAAATACCAAGAAAATTGAAGGCACTAAAGACAGTGGCAAGGGGGAGATAGCTCAGTGGTAGGGCCCCTGCCTGGCAAGCGCGAGGTCGCGAGTTCGATTGCCAGTACCGCCTCCCTCTGCAAAAAGCGATACTATTAGTAATCTAGGAAGAAAATAAGAAAATTGCTTGGAGCTGGGCGTGGTGGCGTAAGCCTGTAATCCCAGGCTGAGGCAGGAGGATTGTTGTGAGTTTGAGGCCAGCCTGGGCTACATAGTGAGTTTAAGGCCAGCCTGAACTGCATAGCGGGACCCTGTCTCAAAAAGATGCACCCCCCCAAAAAAAAAATTGCTTGGGGTCAAAATAATGCGTGAAGATGGAAAGTTTTCCAGCCGTTGAAAGCGTGGGAGTACTTAGCAGTGTGCTTAGGCTGAGCATGGCCCATGCAAACCCTTAGGTGATCATGAAGAAGCAGAGGTGCCTTGACTGAGGGAGTCACAACGTAGTGTCATCTAGGAAAGAACTTTTTATGTGTACAGAAAAATGAAGAGATGATCCACAGTGAGCTAAAGCCGGAGCAAGTTCTTCTCCCCAGGTTGAAGCTGGGAAGGTTTTGGTAGAAGGTCTATATGTTAAATATATAGCTATATTTTTAAGAGGGATGGCACTGGGTATCAGCCCAGGGAGTACTGAACTGCAGCACAGACCTTTAAAAAGTATGATTCTTTTTTTTTTCTTTTTTGGTTTTTCTCCTGTACCGGGAACCGAACTCACTACCTTGCGCTTGCCAGGCAGGCGCTTTGCCGCTGAGGTAAATCCCCAGCCCCTAAAAAGTATGATTCTTAAAAAGATTTTGAGGTCTGGGGATATAGCTCAGCAGCACAATCGCCTGCCTGGCAAGCACAAGTGCCTGAGTTTGATTCCCGGTACCAAAAAAAAAAAAAAGATTTTGAGGCAAGGTCTCATTAAGTTTCCCACACTGGCTTTAAATGTCTCTCTCTCTCTCTCTCCCTCCCTCTCTCCCTCCCTCCCTCCCTGATCCCAAGTAGATGGGTTTTAGGTGCGTCCCCCACCACGTGGGGACAGGTCACTTCTGTTTGTTGTCGGAAATGTTCACTGCTAGTACTAAAGTTGTTTCCTTGTTACCAAAGTTAATTTTTTTAACCAGTGTTAATTTTTATAGGAAATTACCATAATGATAATGAAAACCCCCCTACTAGATTGCCTTGCCCGATTTTAATTTGTCTTACTTTTAAAATTGAAATATTTCCCTCTAGCCTTCTCCAGAAGAGGTCAGCAGAATCCTAGTTACTAGTTAGTTGACGTACTGTGCTCGAGTTGTTTTTCTGCCCTCTTTCATTGCAGTGGAATTTTGTTTTAGCACCTTCGGATCTGTCCTTAGGATTTTTATTTTAACTTATACTTGGTAAAAAATACTGAGATTGAGGTAACACATAACCTGCAGATTTTGTACTGTGGAAATTTTAACAGTATCACAATCTGGTAATTGATGTTATCTTTTTTGGGGGTGGGTAGGTGTGGGCATCAAACGCAGGGACACACACTTGTTAGACAAGCACTCTACCACTTAACCACATCCACAGCACTGTATTGTTTCTATTATACTCCCCGCCCCTTTTGTTTTGGTCTGTTCGTTTTTTGAGATGGGTCTCACTGTATAGTTAGTTCAGGCTGCCCCTGAACTTACTATGTAGCCCAGGCTGGCCTTGAACTTGTAGCAGTCCTCCTGCCTCAGCCTCCCAGTGCTGAGATTACAGGCATGCACTACCATGCCTGGCATCCCTTGTTTTTTTGAGACAGGGACTTGCTATGTAGTCAAGGCTGGCTTTGAACTCACTGTGTAGTCCAGGTTGGTGTCGAACTCGCTGTAGTAGTCATCCTGCCTCAGCCTCCCAAGTGCTGGGATTACAGGTGTGCACCCCTACGCCTTGCCATTATTATACTTCAGTTGTTTCTGTTCAGTTTTAGTCACCCCTTAAATTAGGTAGATTCCTTAAGATTAACACGTTCTTGCCACGTGACTGTCTCATCAGGCAGTTCCCTCCTGGATCAGACTGTCCCCTGCTGCTACTTTCCTGGGATTTTTTTCCTTTACGGTTTGTTCTCTGAAAATACTCCAGTCAAGGCTAGGGGTGTGGCTCAGTGAAAGGGTGCTTGCCTGTTGTGCATGAACCCCCAAGTTCAATCCCCAGCACTCAAAAAACAACAGCTTGTGCATTCTATGAGGGTGATAGGCACATAAAGCACTGATAGTATGATATACTGGGACGTAGAGTAAGCACGCCGCATTTTGGGGTGCACATGCTAGAGGTCCTTAATCCCTCATTGGGTTAGAAGACAAAGAAGTGGGAATACTTGCAGATATACATATATGTATGTGTATGTGTGTGTATACACACATATTTATATGATTGTGTATGAGTTTAGGTAGACTACACATTTCAGATAGGGTAGTGATGGGCAGGTGGGAGTAAAAATTAGTCAGTTTTATTTGACTTAACCAAACCTACAGTTGTTAAAGCAAGTAATTGAATGCAGCATGAGGCAGTTCTGGTGGTGCATGCCCGGACTCTGGGCTCCTCTGGAGGCTGAGCAGGAGGACCCCTGTGTGTGCCCAAGAATCCCAGGGCAGCTTAGGGAGAACCTGTCTCAGAAGCTAAACCCAAATGTATGTATTTGTGTGCATGTGCGGGTGTGTGATTTAGCAGTTCACTCTATATAGGGCCAGGGTGGTCCACTGGAACACAGATGATTAGTTGGAACCTTTGGTCATCTCTTGAATAAGCTGTACTTACACTGTATCTTCATAATCTAATAGGAAAAACACTGAGACAGCCGGATGTGTGGACGTTTAAGATGATTTTTATTCTGAATCTTTTCCTGCAGTTATACAGCACATTGTTTTTTGTTGTTGTTGTCTGTTTGAGACAGGGTTTCACTCTGCAGTTTAGGCTGGCCTTGAACTCACTTTGGAGCTGAGGCTGGCCTTGAACTCAGAGTGATCCTCCTGCTTCAGCCTCCCAAGTGCTGGCCACATATCCTTATGTTTTAGAAACTTGAGCAGTTCTTTGGAAAGCTGTGAATTTGTTTTCATAAAAGTCACCTCTGGCTTTATTATGGAAGAATTTATTTGATTCACTGTCATGTGCCCAGACCTAGAATGGTGCCTGGTCCGTGGGCGCTGTTTCCTCTGTAAAACTCTGCTGCTGGTGCACAGATAGTTTGTGGAGCGGCTTCTGCTGGTTGAGGAGTCAGTTGAGGTTTCTTTGTCTTGTTGTTTGGGACGCTGTCCTCAGGATGAGGCCGAAGGAGTTCAAGGCCGCGGAGGCAGAGCAGACACCATAAACAGTTGTACATCTAAGAATGGCCTTATCCTGAGTGATCCGGGGTTGAGTGAGACGCTCACCAGGAAAGCAGCACGGTTGAATTTGTGCTTTGGAGCAAGAACTCTGCTGCTGACTAGAGAGCAGCTGTGGGACCTTGAGGACGTCTGAAGATTGGAGACCGGAACTTGGCTTTTGGCAGCTTGGGTGGAAATGATACTAGATAGTGAGAAGTGTGGAACTGCCAGGTCAAGAACGTGCGCACGCACGCACGCACGCACGCATGCACCCAACCCCGGGTTACAAAGGCTCAGGTTTTCACAGTACCATGGAAGACTTGAAAGTACAAGCTTTTCCTGAACTCAGGTTTATTTCTTTAGACTTCCAAAAGTTGAGTGAACTCATTTTTTACTGAGAACTTCTGTGGGTGGTGTCCTATGGAAGATTCCTGTGCACAGTGGGTTTTAGTCTTGTGGGAAGGATAAGAGGGTTACCTGCTACAAAGCAGGAAAAGGTATTACGTTGAGGTAATACTGTGTCCAGGGTATGGATACTTACAAGTATTTAGGAAGGCCAGCGGTCCTTTTTAACAGTACATGAAAGTTGTCAAAATACCCAACACCCAAAGGTAAAGGGGGAAGGCTTTAGTTAGCTCACAGTCTGTGGAGGTTTCCGACCATAACGGGCTGGCTCTAATGCGGGTGGCACACGGCAGAGGGCAGCCGTTCATGGCAGCAGAAGAGAGCGGAAGTCAGGCCTCTTTCCTGCCCTTACACTGTACGCAGGCTGCCAGCCTTAGGAGCGGGTGTAGCACTCATACCCTTAGTCCCAGCAGTGGACCTCAGCCACAAACTCGATTCAGCAACCCCTGAAAAGCCTGCCCCCCTCCCCAAGAGTGATAACTAAAGTGGTAGCTTATGTATTACCTTTCTTTCTTTTCCTTGCTAGGTAATAGCTAAGAGAAAAGAGGATTCTGGAAAGATAAAACTTTTGCTTCATTGGATGCCTGAAGACATGTAAGTATTTGAAGCACTGTGCCTAACTGATACACCTGTGTTTTATTTTTATTAAAGCTTATGCACAAAAATTAATGAACCAAATTTAAAAGACTTAGAGAAAGTATACAGTGCTTTGAGGTTGTCAGGATTAAAGAGCATCTGAAAATAGGAAGAGTATCTGGCTCAAGTTAATAAAAGCTTCAGACCTCTTTATTTTCATCAAAAATAGTTGCAACATTTTTCTCTTTTCCTTTCCTTTTTTTGGCGGGGGGGGGGGGAGGGTACTGGGGATTGAGTGTGTGGCCTTATGTTAGGCAGTTTAATCTACCAGTGAGCTGCACCTCCATCCCTAAGATTTTGAGGCAGAATCTGTCCAAGTGGCCTTGGGTAGCCTGGAATCTGAAATCCTCCTGCCACAAATTGAAGAATAGTTGGGAATACAGGTGGCATGCACCACCCTGTCCAGCTGTGACACTTTTGAACTTATTTTTAGGATGTGATGTTTTTTAGGAATTTGTTTTATTGTAGGGGGGATGTCTTTGAGACAGGATCTTGCTGTGTAGTGAAGGGTAGCGTCAGACTTGCTAGGTAGCCCAGGCTGGGCTCTAGCTTGCAAGACTCCTGCCTCAGCCTCCTGAGTGCAGTATAGGATTTTTAATGACCTCCAAGTAGTAGGTAAGTAGCCTTAGGCATGACTTTTTAGAAAAAAAGTAAGTGTTTCCTAGCATACAGGGAATGGTATTTTAAAGAAAAGCTGTTGCCTGGGTTTCCGGCAGCCATAACATTTCTGTGTTTTAGTATCCTTCTAGAGGATTTTTACCTAAGTCCTCCTCAGTTCAGATATTTCATGCTTAATTTCCCTTTTACCTTTTCACAATTTTGTTAGAAAGGTCATGAAAATGTATCATGAGATATTACACAAAGCTGATAAGCACTGAAAATAAAATGAATATACATGAATGAGATTTTGTGTATACTTCACAAATTAACAGTATGTGGCTAACACTTGCCTCTGCCCCAGTACTGTTTTCCCAACTCGTTTCTGAGGAGCTGTTACTGACTGTGGTATTAATAGTTCTCGTGTGGGTTTGGGAATTCACAGTGCACGTTTGTATGCTGAGGAAGTTGCACCTTTTCAAAACTTGGTTGTGGGGACACATTTTCCACAGCTCTCCACTGCGTTACCATGCTCCACACACGCACGCCTGCAAATCACAGCTCATTCCACAAGCTAGACTGGTTTTGTGTACATGCTAATCTTTATTTATCTGACTTGTTTTTGTTGAAAATTGAAGCCAACCATTTTTCTTTACTATAAAAAGTGATACGAAAATCTCACAATACACACACTGTGCAGTGTTGAGGTGTTTTGATAAATACTGCTCCCTAAAGGTTGGTGCCAGTTTGCAGACCCATCGACTCCATTAGAGAACTTACCTCTCTGGCTCACTGTCAGTATTGGCTTCTGTTTTTGGCATGCTGGGCACTGAACCTGGTATCTTGCGTGTGCGAAGCACACCCCTAACTCTCAGTATTGCCTCTTACTCCAAGTAAGATAATTTTTTAAAAACCGCTCTTCAGTTTTTATGTTTTGAGATAGAATCTCACTATATAGTTTAGTCTGGCTTTGAACTCACTTATGAAGCGTAGGGTGGCCTCAGATTTGTGGCAGTCCTGCCTCAGCCTCCCTAGTGCCAGGGTTACAGGTGTGTACCACCCACCGCCTGGCTGAACTGTTCTTTCTTTGGTGAACAGGTGATTTTTGGGTTTTTTGGCCTTTTCTTTCTTCTGATGAATTTTCATTTGATTCATACTGATATTTAAGATCACTTTATATTAAAATTGTAAACATCAGTTCTTTTAAAAAATGTGAAAACCAAGTGTCTAGTATGTTGGAAATTGAGTAATTTAAATATAAAAATGCTTTTTCAAACTTTTTTTTTTTTTTTGAGATAGGGTCTTGCTAAGTTGTCAGAGAGCCCAAGCTGGGCTCACACTTTCTTCCTGCCTCAGCCTCCTTTACAGTTGTGTCCACCACACACTGCTGCCCTCTCTTCTGTGAGCGTGCACTTGCTGCCCCCGGGTTTGTGGCTGAGCCTCCCTGGCCTCAGAAATCTGTTAGTGGAGGCAGCCAGCCTCAGCTCTGCCGCCCCCCACCCGCCGTTCCGCGCCAGCATGGGGATAGGGAAGGTGGGCGAGGGAGAAATCTGAAATGACTGTTTCTAATCATCGATTTTTTTTTTTTTTTTAAAATTCACAGTCTGCCAGATGTATGGGTGAATGAGAGTGAACGACATCAATTAAAAACTAAAGTAGTTCATTTATCAAAGTTGCCCAAAGATACTGCCTTGCTTTTGGACCCAAACATATACAGGTAATTTATTTTGTGACTTTATTCTTTACTGTTTGAATTCTAGTCTTCAGTCTTTCTAAGTTTTGGATAAGTTAAGGTTTATTTTTGAGTACAGTTTGAATGTCCTTTATAAAGTACTTAGGACTAGACATGTTTCAGGTTTTTTTGTTTTTTTTTTTTTTTAATTTTGGAATGTTTGCGCAGACACTACCCAGTTGAACATCCCTAATGCGAAAATCTGTAATGGTTCCGAAAGCTTAAGATTTCAGAGCATTTTGAACTTGAGCGTCTTCAGTGTGGATAGTCGGCCTCTGCTGGATATTAGCACCACGTGCCTTCCTTTCTCGTGCCTTTATCATGTGGAAATCATGGCACAGAGCTGTAAACGATACAGTCCAGGAAGGTGGTATTTTGGTGCACTTTATATGCCTGGCCAATTCCAGATTTGTCTGAAATTGAGTGGCTTATTTATGTTTAAGTATGAAATTCTTTGTGTCTTATCAGTCTTGAGGACCTGGGAGTTTATCACGTGTCCTAATACCATTAACTGGTTGCCTTTTAAAAAATCTATACCCTCTCCAGACCTTCCCAAAGAGTGGTTAAAAGTACTGTGCGTCCTGAGAGGTGGCTGGTTCTCGGGTTTGCAGTTCTGCTCTGTCCTGCCCTGCCCTCTGTCCTAGTGCCCTGCAGTGAGCGCAGGGAGGAGCAGCAGGTGGCTCTCGGTGCCCCAGCTCTGGCCCTCCCTCCCTCCCTCTGCACCGCCCGCCTACCGCCCTCTTCGTCCTGTCTCGGTCTCCTGTTCTGCAGGCTGGAGGTTGCATGCATCATGTGAAACAGCTTTAAATACCATAAATAAAATTATAATTTAATATGTTTTACATAGGAATAGGTTGAACTGGGAATAAGATGACACATAGTTTGTTTTGTCTTTTTGAGACGGGGTCTTACTATGCCGTTCAGGCTGGCCTTGAGCTCACCAGGCTGGTCTCGAATTTGCAACATCCTCCTGAGTGCTGGGATTACAGGCGTGCGTCATCATGACCTGCGACAAGATGACAGATAATTGAGGGGTTTTTTCGGTTGTCTCACCAGAGCAGCTTATTTTTATTGCTCTTGCACTATGTAGAAAGCAGTTTAGATATTTTAGTGCAAGTGATTTAACAAAGTAGTGTTTAGGGTTAGAACTGATGTTCAGAAGTACATAGGAATGCTAGTGGATGTTCTCAAAATATTTGATTCTACAGCTGCTGATTTCATTCTTGGGAAACGAGGACACTTAAGGGGTTAGGTGCTTCTGTGGGTGTAATTTCCTTACCCGTGCCCCTCCCCCACCTCCCTTTTAGTTTGAATTCTAAACTTTGTGCTTCAACTATTCTGGAGGTCAGAGCCGAAAGGGAGAGTAGCACAGAGTCATAGAAGCCCCTTCACTTGCTATGCTGCAGCATCGTTGCCTGAGTTTCTGGATCTGGACTAGGAAACCTGAGAAATTAAGTAAATGGGGAAAAGTTACTGTAATTTGTGTTTTAGGAGAAATAAATGAATCTTTACATATGTGTGATTAAAACTATGGCAGACTTGCCAAAAATACATTGAACTTCAAAGTGAGGCTAAAAAGAACGTATTTATTTGGGATCTGAACATCAGTTTTCAAGTAGTAGTTGGTAAAAATGTGTTAGACATGAAATTCTTTCTTAGGAACATAGCAGGCTGCATAAAAGAGTCATTACAAAGCTCTTGTTACATAACTAATTACATTCAGATGTTGTGGGAGTAACTTTCTGCCCTTTTTTTTTTTTCCTTCGACCATTTCTTTTTGCCCTTTTAAAATGTTTTTTTTGAGGGAGGGTTTCTCTGTATTGCCCAGGTGGCTTTGAACTCCTGGCTCAAGTGATCCTCCTGCTTCAGCCTCCCAAATAGCTGGGACTGTAGGCAGGCGCCACCATGCGGAAGTTACTTTTACCGATAATCTGTAGTCATCACATTGCCTGTATCTTTGTATTTTTAATGTCTCTTCTGAACTGCTCATTGTGTTTTGATTCAGTTGAATAAAAGAAAATTCCTTTTTCTCTTTTTCTAGAACAATGCCGCAGAAGAGGTTGAAGAGGTAAAAAATAAATAAATACATAAAAAGCAAACAAGCGGGGACACCTGCAGTCTTAGTCACTGACAATGGGCTTAGGAAAAGTTGCACATTAGAGTCAACCCCTTCCTCTTTTTTTTTCTAATCCAGTATTTAGAGTAATATTTATGCTTAGTGTAAACATTCTGTGAATGGAGTAGGCTCTCTGTGGAGTATATTAATATATTACTGTGACCCACACTGTCATGGAACGGTACTGCGGGAGCCTGAGCAGACACTCTGGCAACTTAGGAACAGCTTCTCAAAGGCTTTGCATGCTCGCTGCTTTAAGCTGCTTTTTTTCTTCCCTGTAGTGATTACAGTAGTTTCATTGGAAAGAAAAACAATCACAACGTGTGCCCTTACAAATACCAGAAGCACTGTAAGAATATTTGTCTTGACAGTGTCTATTGATTTGAAGTCATATTAGGCAATATTTAGTGAAAATTCTCGATATAATTAATTTTTCAGCCATGATAAATAGATGTGATTGGTTGCCATTTGTGTTCTTTTGCAGAACTCTGATAAGAAAAGTGTTCAATTTGTATTTAAGCAAACAGTGAACGGCATTTGCAATCAACTAAAAATTCGTCTATCGAATTAGGGCTGAAAGTCTGTTACAGAGTGTTGCAGTGTCTGGTGGCTCCCTTTCAGGACTAGGGCTTTCTCACGGAGTACAGTATGTTGGTATTTACCCGGATAACTCAGTTTGTTAACGGTTTTTGAAAAACCTCTTTCAAATTAGAATAATCTTCGTATTTTCAGTTAACCTATATGACTCTAATTTTTTTCTGAGGAAAGCATTTGGTTTTTGAATTCTTTTTTCTTAATGTAAGAAAAATTGTATTTTTTTTAAAGTATCTTCAAACTGAGTGAGTCTTTTATGCACCAAAGTTGGTTTTGAAAAGGAAAATAAAAATCACTTTCTTGCTTGGTAAGCAAGAAGCCATATGGAATTTTTTTTAACTTACAGAAATGGAAATATGTGTAACTTGTTAGTATTGTATCAAACAAATGTTCCATAGAGTTAATAGAACATTGCTTGTAAATAATTCAGCAGATTTGTAATATATTTTTATATTATGAAATGTACTGTAGATGTTTTTCTAGAGGCATGAAAGTTAAATGTATATATTATGGTAGAAATAATATTGAAGGATATTGTAATTCACTAGTGCTGCCAGAGGAATTGTTAATAAAGCACCTTCTTTAACAATAAATGTCTTTTGCAGACCTAAAGGACTATGTACTACTGTTAATATCTCTAAGAGCAAAACGTATTGAACATCCTTCCAGAAAGTCTTTGAGGGAGGACCTGTACCCGTGATAGAATTATGGCACTCGTTTCTGATGGTGACCATGGAGTCAGTGTTTCCCTTACTGTCGGAAGGACGTATTGTAAAGTCCGTGGTTATATGCAGTCAGACTGCACAGAACACTCCTGATGGAGGAGTCTTCACTTCACTACAGTGATCTAAAACCAGCAGTTTTTACACTAGATTTTTAAAATTAATAATAGACAAAAATATAGAATTAAACCTTTGGTTCCAAAATGGGAAAGAGTTCACGATGCGTAAATCATTTCTCATTTGCTTTAAAAAATGATAAACAAAATGGGAGGCGTTATTTGTTAACAGTGGGGTGAAGAGCTATATCCACGAAATGAGTCACATAAAATTCAATGAAGTGCGAATAAAAGCACTGCTACTATAAGACGTTCTGGAACGGTTGTTTAATAAGGGTGTTCTCCATATGACCTGTAGCAAATGTGATTTTATTTTTTAAATGAAAAGAAAAAGCAGCGTGCTTTTTTGCTATTTTTGTTTTCTTTGCTTAAGCACTTCACCAATTGCTTTATTCTGTATCTGGGAAGTAATCTGCAGTCTCTCCTTTGTTCTTTTTACATTTTGATTTGTTATACAATTGCCAAATAGAAGTGTTTCAGATATATAGTTTGTACCTGTATTTTTATTTTATTGCTTCATGTTCTTGTAAGTCGTTCTTACTTGACCGATGATTGTAGACTTTGCTTGAGTATTTTTTCTAATAAAAACAAAGCAAATCTCATTTAGCTTCAAATTGTAACAGTTCAATTACATTTTAAAATGGCACCTGAATATACACATCCAACATTTTCTTTAGGAGCACAGTAAACACATTAGTTTTTTCATTGTAGCAGTGCTTAGATGTCAAAGTCAAATTTCATGGTCATTGATTAGCCTTGGAATACTCAGTCACTTATAGTCCTTTCTGCTGCTTATCTGACTTTGGTTTGATAGTGTCAGCACACCAAAAAGCATATGGAATTAAAATGAGCTAATTTTATAACGTGTGTATACACACAATTATGACTGGAAAATAAGTGCGAACATTTTCATCTCTGTTGTTCAGTTATTGATACCTGCTCATCTGTAGTGTTCTTGCTACCATCTATGTTCTTTCCGCTCCCAAATACGACGTCTGTGATATGATGCCTGACATGACCTCTCGCTCCGGGTCCACGTGCAGTCTAGCACTGGGCAACCTCCGGCCTACACACGTAGCCCTCGTTTACGCAGTGTCTGTGGCTGCTTCTCCCTGTACCCGGGGAGGCGAGCGGCAGGACCTCCGGGCCTGCAAGCCTGAACGATTTACTCTCTGGTCTTTCAGAAAAGTTGGCTGATCCTTGTGAGGTGATAAACTTTTGGAAGAACAAACTTAAACCTTGGATTTTCCATGTTGGATTTAACTATAATAGTGTTAATTTGGGTAATAGGACAGTGCATTCAATTTCAGTGAAAGCTGTTTAATGTTTTACAGTAAATGTTGCCATATTAGACACCTGCAACAAATGATGTTTTGGGGGAACTTTTATATTGGACTTGTTAATAGTTAATCCATCATTTTACCATTTGTATTTTTGTATTTTGTTTTACAAAATAGAAGCAAATGAGATTTTGTATATCAGACTATGTTTAAACCATAAGGCACATCTGCTTTATTTAAAAGCATTTTGAAGTAGAAAATATTGTAAAATTTAAAGTTGTTTATTTTTCTAATAAACTTTTTCAGTACATAAATTTTCCCTACAGTGGCCACACATTACTTTTGAATTTCAGATGAAACTAAGATGGACAGTAATTAGACATAATTTCAGATTTGTTTTATTCATTGAAGTATTGATACTCTTGTCAGCACACCCTTGGCTATAAGATTTTTTTCTCTTTCACATATTAATAAAATGTTTTAAATACGTATTTACTCTTAAAAATACAGAATTTGCCAGCTGTTTAAAGCATGTTCTGTGGTTTGCTCCTTGATTTTTTTTTTTTATTAATACATGGTGAACAAAAGTGTTAGATTTTTAAATAAAATATAAAAATGGGTAAATAGAGTTGAAGTATTTTATGTATTTCATGGGAAGAGGGTCTTTCCGTTTACTCACAGCTTTATAAAATTGTACCTCTACGTAAGTTTTCCAAAAGCAAACGAATTTTTAGTTTATGTAAATTCTTCACACAAAACCTGATACATTTCTCAGGCCTAACGTGGACCTACAAAGAGATACTTATGAAAAAGTTTTATAAAAAAGAGTTAAGTCATGTATCATTTTTAGACTTCTTCTGAAAGAAATGGTACATTTTGGGGTATCTAATTTAAAAGTTTTCTATTCTAAAAAAGTGCAAGAATATTTCATAAAAGGATAAAAATGTTTTTAGAAAGATTTCCTGCATTCGTATTTTCAATTGTTAAAGACTGTGATCTGGTATATGGCATTTTGAAATTCTAACACGACGGCTTTAATAAAAAAACTTTATAGATTTTAAAAAATTATATTTTGTCATTTTTGAATAGTTATAAACCTCAGTAGCCTTAAACTATAGGAGTGAAGTTTGTATTTATACTTTTTACCGTTAAAGTTTTATGTAAAGTTTTATGCCTGATTTGTTTCCTGAATTAGATTTGCATCTCTCACGTATGGACCTGTTAATCTGAGAAAGGGTTGTGAGCAGATTAGAGCAGGAACTGTGACTCCGATGTTTCCTCTAGGTCAGCGTTCTCCACGTCACGGCAGACCTGGGCCGACACGGGAGAGGAGACCGTGTGTGTCGCAGCGGCACCGGGACACTGTGCTCGGGGCTGCCGCACAGTGCGAAGTACTGTCGTCTCTAAGTACTTGTTGAATTAGCATGAGAGATGAGTGCTCAGCAGGGTAAGATGACTTAGAGAATTGCAGGAATAAAAGGAGGGTAAGGTTGAAGTAATCTGGTTTCAATCACAGTGTGTGATAAATTGTCAGTACCTTTTCATATGGCCCTTACAAAGCCAGTTATCCGTCAGTTTGTGTAAGTATTCTCAACAAAAAGATTGTTTAGGGTTATATTTTTATGTACCCCGTTGTAATTGGTTTGGCTCATTTCATTAAAAATACTTGGCAGTTTTTTTGTGAGGGGAAGGGTCTTCCTATGTAGTCTGTGCTGGCCTTAGATTTACTGGGTAGTCCAGCCTGAGCCCTCAGTGAATCCTCCCGCCTCAACCTCCCAAGTGGCAAAGTTCTTTCTTAAAAACAAACGCCAGTTATACGTATGATATAATGGGCTTACTCAGTGTTGGAGTCTTGACTTGAATATTTTGTCAGGTTTCCAAACAACCTTGCTGCCGCCCCTGTCTTTCCTCTGCAGTGTTTCTGTGCGTCTGCTAAGGAAAACGGGAGAGGTTTTTCTAAATCTTGCCAGCTTATGAAACTGTCATGAGTTTGCATGTTTATTTCATGAATCTATTTTATTTTATTTTACTTTATTTTTTCCGGTACTGGGAATCGAACTCACGACCTTGTCCTTGCCAGGCAGGTGCTGTGCCACTGAGCTAAACCCCCAGCCATGGATTTATTTTATTTATTTGTTTTTTGTGTTTTTGAGACAGGGTCTCACCATGCAGTTCAGGCTGACCTTGAGCTCACTTTGCAGCCCAGGCTGGTCTAGAACTGACAGCAATCCTCCTGCCTCATCCTTCTGCCTCAGCCTCCCAAGTGCTGAGATTACAGGCATGCACCACCACGCTCAGCTTCATGAATTTATTTGTATTTGCATGCCTGTTGCACTTGCTAGGCATAAAGTGATTATATTGGGGGGGGGTCTTTTTGGAAGAATACTCAATTTTTGGTGGCAGGCTGTGTAGTTAGAGGAAAAGAAGAGATTCTAAAACACGAGTTTGCACTCTTGAGGGGGAGGAGCTTGTCCGCGCTAGGCATGTGCTGTGCCCAGTCACACCCCAGGCTCGGGAGTTTACTTTCCATAGCGGAGCCTAGAGCCTAGTGCCGGTCTAGTGTAGACACCCTTCACTGTTGCAGAATTGCCACAAGTTTCTTAGCTTGTGTCAACTTGTATTTGAAGTAGAAGAAAGCCTAGTTTTTTAGAACTTGCATAGTAAATGTCAGTCTCTCAGCTCTTTAAAAATTTTGTTTTGGTCTTTTTGAGACAGGGTCTCCGTATGTAGTTCAGGTGGCCTTGCACTCACTTTGTAGCCTGGGCTGGTCTTGAACTCTCGACGATCCTCCTGAGTTCTGTGATTACACCGTGTGCCACCATGCGCAGCTCTTAGCTTCTCTTTCCATGTATATCCTTCCCTAAATCACCTGAAAGATCAGACTTTCTGGTTTTTTTTGGAGGATTTTTTTGTTTTTGTTTTTTGGAAATAGCATCTCACTATGTAGTTCAGACTGGCTTTGATCTCGTGCCAGTCCTGTCTCAGCCTCCCAAGTGCAGGGATTACAGGCATGCGCCACCATGCACACCTCAGATTTCATTTTAAAATGTAATTCAGGATTGTGAACCAGTCCTTCAAAATCTGTTGTAAACATCAGCAATATTTTTGTTAAAATTACTGTTTTTATTATTACAGTTGTAGTTGCCAAATAAAAGAAAACAACAGTATAGAAAATACAAATAAAGGTAAAAACTGTTACTTTGAACTCACCACATCTGCCTGGTCTCCAGATTAACATTTTGGTTAATTCTTCCAGAACTTGTCCTCATTTAAATTGTTGTATACCCAGTCCTGTGATTTCAGTCCCCTGTACCCCCAATTCAGGGAACTGACAGAAGTCTTTATTCTTTTTCAGTGGCAAGGTATCATAATCTGAGTTATTTAACCATTCTGTGTCTGTTGACGTTAAGGTACCGATCTGTCACGAGGGTAATAGAGCAGCATCCTTGAGCTGCGTGGGATGGTATTTCTAGAGTGTAATTTCTGGAAGAGCTTCCAGCTGGCTTAAGAGTTTGTGAATTGTGTCCCTTGCAAGTTTTAGTATTGCAAAAAACGTTTCCTGAAAATCTCCCATTAATGGGAGTAAATGCTTATTTTCGTACCAGACATGCCCAAACCCATGGGCTAATGCCTGTTACAAGAAACATTTTAAAATAAAAAGTTTTTTGTTTTTTTTTCTGGTACCGGGAACCAAACCCACGACCTTGCGCTTGCCAGGCAGGCGTTTTTGCCACTGAGCTAAATCCCCAGCCCCTGTTTTTTTTTTTAAAATGCAGTAACTGTATATCTTGTATGTGCTCTAGACAGTTCCTTTTCACTTAGTGTGGCGCAGGCAAGCCAGGTGTGTCGGGACCATGGGTGCGGTTTGCACACACCGGAAGGAGTATGCAAACTCTTAAACCAAAGTCTTGTTTTTACTTTGGAGATGAGATCATTGTATGTTGCCCAGCTTGGCCTTGCATTCCTGGGCGCCCAAATGACTTCTGCTTCGGCTTCCTGAGTGCTGGGACCACAGGCACATCCAGTGTGTGTATCTCCGCTTACAGTCCCTTCGTACTCTATGCGAAGCATTTGAAGAATCTTAGGCCGGTCCTTAGTACTGAGGATGAAAAGCCCCCGCAAGCGTGTGCGAGTGCACGTCAATGTGCACGTGGTTGGGGTGGGCATGTGGGGTCAGTGCCACAAGTGGCGAGTGGCCCTTGCCCGTCCCTCAGCTGTGTCCTCCCTCTGCACACATGGGCAACCACTGAGCTGCTTTCAGTCACTACTGGTTGTTCCCGTTGTCTAGGTTTTTATATAAGTGGGATCATATGGCATGTATTAAGTCTAAGCATAAATGATTTTGAAATGGACAATATCAAATACATACAGACATACATACATATAGGCTATTTGTACTTGAAGCTAACTATTAGGGACAGCAAAAAATAATCCAAACTCAGATGCTAAGTTTCATTACATCCGTTTTGAAGGTAACTGTATGGCTTAGGGTGGAGGTCTCATTTTCAGTATGTGAGAAATGTAGTCCAGCCTGGTCTCAAACTCGCTAATCCTCCTCCCTTGGCTTCCTGGGTGCTGGTATTACAGGCAGTGCACCACCATGCGTAGCTCTGCTTGGAGGGTTATTTGTCTGTTTTTTTGGTCTTTTTGAGACAGGGTCTCACTATGCAGTTCAGGCTGGCCTTGAGCTTACTTTGTAGCCCAGGCTGGTCTGCAACTCATGACAGTCCTCCTGCCTCAGCCTCCAGAGTGCTGGGATTACAGGTGTGTGCCACCACACCCAGCATGCTTTGGGTTTTTAACCTAAACAGGTACACATTGAGCCTTCCACAGTTTGTCAGTTGTGTTCAGTTAAGGTTTTCCTGCCTGAGTTCCAGTTCCTGTCCTGTCCTGGAGGTTTCTGTCCTGGCTTTCTGCCTTGGCAAGGTGATTCTCTCCAATTTGGGGGACATTGTTGCTCTGTGACCTGAATTCTCTTAATGGTTCTGGGAAAAGTAGATTCTTTCAAGTTCATTGTTTCACTTGTTAGGAGAACTGGTGCTGCTAGCCTGGAAACTAGAAGTTCAAACCTTTAGAAATAAGTAGTAAACTGTTATCATACATTGCTATAGCTTCATTAGTGTAAATGAGACCCAAGTGTATTCAAGGATGAGTTACGTCTTCAGACTTAGATTATTTCTGATGCAAAATTACAATATTTCTGTTGTCATAAGGATTTTTTTTCCCCCTTTATGCTACCATGTAAAATACAGGGGGGAAAACCTGGGAGATTTGCCAGGTGTGGTGGTACACACCTGGGATCCAAGCACTCGGGAGACTGAGCCCAGCCAGAGGATCCTGAGTTTGAGGCCAGGCTGGGCTATGTAGTGAGTTCAGGGCTGACCTGGACTACTTTGCCAGACTGTCTTTTAAAAAAAGGCTGGGCTGGGGATGTAGCTCAGTAGGTCAGTGGCCTGCCTTGTACTGGTAAGGTCCTGAGTTCGATTCCCAGTACCAAAAAAAAAAAAAAAAAAAAAAAAACAGTAAAAACCAAAACACCCAAAGTGAAGGAACTAAGTGGAAGAGAAACAGTTCAGGCTGTAACAAAGTACGCAGATGAGGTGGCTTACATGTGGCAGAGGTTGGTTTCTCACAGCTGGGGAGGATGAGCTGTGATGTGAGCTCGGCGCATGCGCTGTGGGGCTGTGTGGCGACCTCTCAGGTGCAGACTGCTGGTCTCAGGCCTCACAGGGTGGGACCGGCGCATGCGCGGTCGGCACTCACCGCAGCTTCCCCGCGTGGCGCAGTCAGCCCAGTGCCGAGCTTGTGGGTTAGGGTTTCAACGTGAAGTAGGGGATACAAGCTTCAGTCCGTAACATTCTGCACCTTGCCTCCCAATTCATGTTCCTGTTGTGTGCGAAATCAGTGGCCCTCACGACCCCATCGTACCTCTCTCCAGCATCTACACGAGAGTCTCAAGTGTGGGGTGTCATCTAAATACCTACATCAGATAGGCGTGGGGCTCATCCTGAGGCCCGAGTGTCCCCAGCTACGAGCCTGTGAAGCCCAACAAGCTAGCTCCAAAA